TCTTCGCTTCGGCCCAGCTCATATTGAAATTATCCATGTATTCCTTGTATAATCTTCCTTGCATTGAAATGTCTTCCATTTTCGCTTTCTTCTTATGAGTCTCCAGTTCTTTCTCTATTTTGTCTAATTCGAGTCTCTCCCGGCGCCTCTTGAGTTCTTTTGTTTCATCTAAGTTCTTTTCCATAAGTTCTAACTCATCTTGATTAAATTGCAAAGTTTCCCTTTTGAGTTGGAGTGCTTGTAACGATTGAGTGTGCTCATTAGTTTCTGGGTTTAGAGACTTTGTGATTGCATCGGTCAGTTTGTTGTTCGAGGTGACTTCAGACCGTCGAGCTGCTTGTTTGGCTAACATATGCTTCTTTTTAAAGTCCCACTCCTCATCGCGTTCTTCTCGAGATGGTAAGTGATTACTTAAAATTGAAGAGGAAGGACCTGAATTAACTTGAGATGATTTCCTATTTCCACTTTTGGTCGATCTATCTAAAGATCCATCGGAGCTCTTTCGAGGGGAAGCATGACGAGGTGTTGACTTGTTAGGATGAGTTGATTTATGAACCCTTGAGGTTGATGATTGACTGAGGCCGACGTCATTGGAGCCTTCATGCTTATCTTCGCCTTCCTCTAAATCTTCCAAAAGGGGACTCTCAATACCACGAAAGAGTTGTTCAAATGATGATTCATCATCACCATTGGGTTGACTGTTGGCTTTGATTTGATCAGCTCGGTCGTTGCCCTTGAGTTGATTATTGTCGTATGTCAACGGTGAATCAATAGTGTTTTGATTGGGTAAGATGTCATCTACATCGATCAAAACATTAGATTCCTGTACGTCGTCCGGTGAATTTGCCTTTCGCCTTCCGAAAGTGTCGACCATTTCTTCATAATATAGACATTTCTTTTTGAGTATTGCTTTAAAATAATGAATATAAATTAGTGGTTTATTTCTAAGTACACAAACAAACTTAAAAAGAAACTGACCTTCAAATGTATCTTCAACCAAAGATAGTCGCTCCTTCCATGCCTCGCTATCAGATGCATACCCATTTGCCTCCTTCTCAGCAAGTGCATCCTCCATGAGTTTCTTCTTCGCACCTTCGCCACTTTCTTTGCGGAAGTCTCGGCCATCGCGATAACTTCTCTCGAGATCTCTGATCTAAGGAAAAAAAACATGTAATGAACATATGTATACATATGTTAAGGAGAAGATCAACGTACTTGTTGCTCGACTGTGGTAGGTTTTATATTCGGAAAGCCATTTTCAGCGAGGTAATTGGCAACATCCTGAGCTATCTTGCCTTTCTTCATCGTGCCTCCATTGGTTCTCCACCAGTCAAGACGAAAACCATCACCAACAGGAGTTGTTAGCCATTCCACTATGAGCCACAAAGGAGTCTTCCCATCCTTGTTGAGGTCTACACGCCACTGGGTTCGAGAACGGGCAGGAGACGATGGTTGGTTGGTCTTGGCCTTGGCCTTCGGAGCACCCTTCTTTCGGGCTCTTTTCTTGGGCTCTGGATCGGATTGAGTTTGTTGAGTTTCTTGAATAGCTGGAGTTTGAACTGATGGTTGGTAAGGTGTCACAGGCATCGTTCCCCAAATATGAGCGTTGATATTTGGGGAGATATGTGGGGTGAGAACTGGCGAGATATGTGGGTTGATGGTGGGTGAGACAAAGGTATACGGATAGGGATGAATTGGTGGGACTTGACCCGCAATCGACGAGTTTGATGAAGTGCGAGAAAGATGGTGGGAAGAAGGTGGATCAGCCATGTGAAATGAGTGAATGAGGGGGGGTTAGGTGGGGAAGGGCATCGTTGTGTTGAGACAAATATACAAAGTTTTGAATCTGGGTCTATTTGGAACTATAGTTCCAAGTTTGAACTTGGAGTCTCCCAGAACTTTCTGGATGACATTTTTGGACACTTTTGGGACACGTTTCTGGAGTTTTGAATACCCCTAATAAAAAAGAAACTTTGTCTTTGCTCAACAACAAAGAAGTTAACAGCATTTATTTGAAATTTGATAGAGACTGAGTAAGAATTTTTTTTTAGATTTCATTATTATGTTTTTATTTAAGAAGCGAAGCAAAGACATATCAAAAAATTGGAAAGGAAAACTTAAAGTTATCAAGTATTATTAATTTAAAGGAAGCAAAGGCTAAGTAGGAGCCTTCTCTTTTCCTTTAGATTGCTTCTTGACAGATTCCTCCCAAGCCTCAAACACCAAGCCGACTTCTTCCAAATCATCAGTAATTGGCACCCCCTCACGTAGCCACAAGCGACTACCAACGCACATCTCGATGGTGCAAGGCTTCAAACATCCTCGCATGGCAGTTGCCACATCGGCAGCCGCCAAAAAGGTCCGCTCGGCTGCAGCTGAAGAACCTGGAACCAAAAGGTAGTGCCGTGCTAATGATGCCAGGACAGGATACTTATGTTCATGTTCCTGGATATGGGGCAATTACATTAGTGATCAGTGAAACACACAATATGTAAATAGTCAAGTAAACTACATACCTTCCACCATTGAAGAACAGGCTTAGGACTGTTCTCCATACCAGGTGAAATCAAGGGGTCCTCACCCTTCAAATACAGCTCCAGCTCATTAGCTACCAAAGGGGTTGCAGTCTCATAAAGTTGATATATAACGGGCACACTAGCTTCCGGGGCTTCACTTCTAGGACTTTGCGGTGAATTGGAGGGAATATTGAGTGCCGACTTGTGTTTGGAAAACTTGGTGTGAAGGTGATCAGTGGCGTGGAAGGTTTGCTCATGCTCCGGTCCAAGGGTGTGTTCAAAAAATCGTAAGCGAAGGGCAGGGTGACAAATTGCCGCCATGAGAAGGGTGTTACAGCCAAGAGCTTCCTCATAGTAAACCTTTGTATGTTTGATACAAGCTTGAAAAAACGGTTGCATGCGGTCATCAGGTGGAATAGCTGCCGATTGAGCTGTCAAAGAGGTGAGTAGAGTTTGATATTTGGCAAGTACCATACACCCAGTGGGTGCATTGGCCTCCATTCGCTTAGTCAAAGTTTTGAACGGCTATTTGACACACTCATGTTAGTAGTCTGAAAAAGGGTAGATGATCTACTATTAGGACTTACTCGCAGCTCATCGAGTAAATCTCTAACATCTTGCCAGTATGAAAGGGAGAAGAAAGTTTCTTGAAAATACCCAGAGGCTTTTTTTGACAATTTTTTATAATTTCTTGACTTCTTCATTTGAGACTTTGAGGCATCTTCTTTCAACATTTCATTGATAGCCTGCTTGACAAATTGGGTTATCAGTTTCAGGGAGAAATTTGTTACAGAATAAGGTACACTGACATCCTGATTTTCATATGCTCTATCCCATCTGTCGAGGCAGATATTCCAACGGATACCATGGCCGGCAATCAAAGAGCAGCCAGGACCATTGCCATCCGGTTGCCTCCTCCTTAGGTTCATTCAACGCGCATTGAAATCCTCGCGCCAAGCAGAAGATCGTGTAATCTTCTTCACAACAGAGTCAAGCTGAAATTTGTTTATAAGGTAATGTCAGTGTCAAGATCAGACACAAAGATGTTATATGGGATGGAATACAAACATCTTGAGTTAATATTTTAAGTCCATTCATTTTGGCTCTGGTTGGCTTAGGGATGATGTTGATGGCCTCCATGTCCCAGTGGTTGTCCTCAACATTGTCCTGTTCCCTTTTGTCTTTGGAATCACTCGACTCATCTGGATGATGTTCAACATCATCCTCGGTGTCCGAGTTCAAGGAACCCACAAGGATGGCCTGGTTGAGTTCTTCTTCTTCATTGCCAGCTTCAGAAATAGTCGGTAAGTCCTCTGGTGAGGGGAAAAAACCAAGTACTGTGTGGCGCTGATGACTTGTTGGTGGCCTAGGGCTGCGATTCCGGCGTTGACAATCAGACCAATCTTGTGACACATGCACTTGACGTGCATGGTCTCAGGATCCCAAGAATAATTGGATGAATGCTGGTTGTGTTCCTGGAGTTGTTGATGCATCTCAGCTGCCAAAGTCATGTTGTTTGACGCTGAATCTGTTGTATGACCTAGCATGTATTAATACAACAAACAGATTGTCAGCAACTGAATTGTGTGAATAAATACTAATATGAGATACAGGACTACATATGGAGGAAACTACTTATCTTTTGGTAAATATTATGTTTCTTCAGTACAGTCACCAGCGGCTTGGAAAGCCAAGCTCCCTTATGGTGATGAGCAACTCGCTTGAGCGTGAGGTGGCGAGAAGTATAGTTCCAGTCTTTGTCGATAAAGCTGGCAACCCCACCAACAAAAGACCAAAAGTTACCTTTTACCGTCCAAACATTGTGTGTCAATGTAAACTTTCCTGGAATTGACTGAGACATAGACAGAAAAAAAAGAATGACGAAACAAGTTAGAACACAAAACCATCAACATCTGAATTAGATAGATTATGATGATAAACAAGAACGAGTAAAACTTACTTCAAGTTCTCTATAAACAGTGTCTCTTAGATTCAGGTGCAGTTCTTTGGCCTTGTTAGCTGTCCACTGCCGATGGTAAAGTCAAGCATTGGGTCGAGCGTAATAAAACACAGCCTGAAGAAGCGGATCTTCAATCCGGGACCACGGCAACACTTGCCGGACCTGCCATAGCATCAGAAGGCGGTTGGAGATTTTCATATTGAACTTGGGCATAACTGTAACAAAATTGTTCATTGTTGATACTTTATGTGATTCTGCTAATTTCTTGGTGTTGACCTCTGCAACTGTCGGAGGGAGCTTTCAGCCTCAAGCAATGGCTTCCTTACGACGGGGGCAACCAGTCTTAGATCTGCCGGCCTGATTAGATCCATTGCGATGGATCTTGAGATTGGATCAAGTCGTTCCATGGCCACGGCAGACTTTGCCACACCAAAGGCATGTAAAGTCCAATGGACATCCTGGTCCCTAAAGGTAAAGGACGATCAGTCAGCTGAATGTTTTGTAAGATTAAATAATATATATATCTAATGGAAACATGATAAGAAAGACAAATTGGCAACACTTACATTGTCATGGCCCGGAGTTGGTTCATCAAAATATAAAGCAATATCATCATAATCGTTGCCTTCCTTCAAATCGTGGTGAGATTTCTTTGATCGTTTGCGGATCCAAGCATTGTCGTCATCAGAGTCTTGGCGCAAATTGATGGAAGGACCTTGGACTTGATTTTCTGAAACAGATGAAGCCTTGTTCTATGACAATTTGACATGAATAAATACCAAGTCATTGAAGGGGAGCGAGTGAGTCAGCATATGTTTTGATGACACAGGTGAAGTGAAGGGTCAGCCTCACCTTAGTTTGATTTGTGTAACCGGACGCATTGGTTACAGAGGAAGCAGTGGATTTGGGTTTTTGATTTGATTTCTAAAGGATTTCACATCAAAACAAATTAAACAAGATTATAAATTAATAGAAGAATACGACAGAACTCACAGTCTTTCCTTTCAATCCCAACGCTTTGAGAACAGAAGAAGCAGTGGAAACAAAGTTTGGTTTCTAAACCACATTGTATCAACAAAAGAGAAAAGAATATATATAATGAAGATGATGATAACTGAGATTAGAAACAGTGGAAAGCACTCACAGTTGATCCTTTCGATCCTGTCGGTTTGGCAACAACAGTTTGCTGCTGACTGGATGCCTTGTTCTGCTTCGCATTCTTGGACAATTGACCCTGGTTTGGGACAATGTGGCCCCCTACCAGGTCACATTTGGATCTGGAAGTTGAACGAGCTCGTTTGAAGCCAGATGAAGAAGGTGGTTGTGTCAGTGAAGAGGGATTAAAGAGTCCGCGGCGGCTATCCTGGGATGGTTGGATCATCCCAGGATCCAATTGGAGAGGGGTTGTGATCCAAAAAGTTTGGCAAGGTTGACTTGGGGTTTCATCGGTGTCGTATCCAGAACCTGGACACATGTTGTTGAAGGAATCGAGTGGAGAATTGGAACAAACCAAGTGCAATAGCTGAATAGACGTGGTAAGTGTGATAATATAAGTCAGTTCATGTAATTGAAACTGAACCAATAAAAATAATAAAAAGATAAAAGATGAAAACTGAGGAAAGGGAAAGAAGAAATAGGTTATACATATATCAATAAGAAGGAAGGCGATTACGAGATGAGGGAAGTAAGAGAAATGCCAATCTGGAGTCAAGATCGAGACCACTCACATTAGAAGTTGGGGTGACAAAGTTGAAAACAATTGGCCATCGAATTCCATGGGGGTTGCTTGTTGGTCTGGGGACTTGATGATGTAACCAATGGGCCACATCATCATTGTCCATGATGTTGATGAGGCTAGAAGGCGACCTATTGGATTGGTTGGGATTGATTCAGCATTAGAATCTCTAGCTGACCTATTGAATTGGTTGGGTCAGCATGAGGATATCGCCGATAACGGAGATCACTGCTGAGAGTATGTGTAACGTACCTATTTCACATAACATACCTGTCACAAGTATGTCAGCGTATCTACTCCAAAATAAAATTTGTGACATAAAATGATAACACACCGGTATGTAGGATTTAAAAATCGGCCCCAACCAATAGCGTAACCATGTTACGGTACAGTGCAATAACGGCGGAAGGTAGCGTAACCGGCCTGACATTGCTTACTTGTCTTTTTGTACTCTTGTTTGTTATTCAGATCAATATGTTTTCTATTGAAGGAGGAGTTGGACTTTAGTAGTATTCTTATCTTGGTTGTTGGCTTGATCCATTATGTCCTGATTGATACCCTACAATTCTTTGAGATGAGCCAAAAATGATTGTCCCCTAACAAATTAAAAAACTGGTCAAAAAAACTGGGTGTCAAGCTGGGAATTTTGTTTGCCCAGATTTTAGCTCGGGTCCAAAAATCTGGACTTCTGGGCATGCTCCCGGGCACGTGCCCAGGCTTGTACTTTTAGGGGATACAAAGTAGAAGTCCGGGCACGTGCCCGGGCACATGCCCAGAAGTCCAGATTTCATTTTTGGCTGTAAATTTGGATTCTGGACTTGCGGGCATGTGCCCGGGCACGCCTGCAACTTTGAACCCACAGTCAGCCAGAAACCGTGGAACGATAGAGTCCTTGAATCAATAAAACACGGCCCTGCAGCTCGTTTAACTATATACCAAGACATTAAACTATTGTGACAACATACCCGAAGACCAGACATATACTAAGCTTCATATTTTTTTCGTTCTCTCTTGTATGGCTTGTGGGATGATTTCTAAAAACTTGCTCTTTATAATTGACTACATTATCAAAAGTACTCAGTAAGAGAAACCACTATACAATTGCAAAGAAAGAAAAGAAAACATTCAATAAATGGAAGATGAGTTGAATTGTGAAGAAAATGGTTGAACAATGCTTGTTAAATAAGGGAAAAGACCAGTCTCAAGCAGAAACAAAACAAAACAATCCAAAACAACCCAAAAGAATGAAACAATCAAAAAAACAAAACGATCAAAAAACAGAACAATCAAAAAAACAAAACGATCAAAAAAACAAAACAATCAAAAAAACAAAACAATCAAACAAAGGAAACGATCATAAGCAAAACAAAAAACATAACGATGATCAGTTTCAAGCGAAACCAACAAAACAATCAACAGAAACGATCAAAATCAAAAAAGCAATCAAAAACTAAACACGATTGAAAAGTATAAAAAAAGATCAGTTTCAGGAAACACAGAAGAAAACAATTGAAAACGAGGAATTGATGGTATCCGAGTTTAAACCTGAGAGGAAGACATGAAATTACGCGGTCTGAAAGCATGGAAATGAGGGTGGGGTTTCTGGGCGGAGAACTGGGCGTTGAGCTGGGAAGTCTTTTTTTGCCCAGATTTCAGCTCGTGTCTCACGCTCACACCCGGCACCTTTTTCGTGGCCAGGGCTGTGGCCAGGGCCGTGGCCCAGCCCTGCCCAGCCCTGCCCAGCCCTGCCCAGCCCTGTGTGGCCTGCCCTTGAAACAACTTTTGATCATAGCCCAACTCATCTTCAGGTGCTACTCCCTGCTTAAGGCACTGTTTGAAGGGGAATTAAGCTGAACTTCATGCACTATGAAGGTCATGAAGGGCTGGTGGTGAGGGCCACGCGTGGCCTAAGCCCTGGCCACGGCCATGTGCCCCTCCAGGGCGCCTCGTGGCTTCGGGGCCCCGGGTGTGAGCGTGACTCGTGTCGGGAGATCTGGACTTCTGGGCGCGTGCCCGGACTTGTACTTTGTATCCCCTATTTGTATCCCGTAAATAGTTCTTTAATTTCATCATTGGCTCTCAAAGTAGACCCGGTTTCAAAAAACCCAGTTGACCCAGTTGACTTTTTGGCTGTGAGCTGTCAAGAAATGTCAAGTTGATACACAAAGTTACTGCCAAAAAGCAACTGGGTTAACCCAGTCAACTTTGAGAGCCACTGATGCTTCGAGTGTCACTAAAGCCACTAGGCTGTCGGGCACTGCATATGAGTCCAGCACCTGTGAAACCCAACAATAGCTGATGCTCTAATTGGAACATCAAGTACAAGGCAAGAGATTGGAGCCATGTTCTAAATGGAACACTACAAACTTGCCTCGGATGCTCACATTTTAGTATGCCATTGGTATGTACCCCACATTGGGGTTACCCCCTTCTTGTGAGAGTCAGGTTAAGGGGCCTAATTGCCCCCCCAAACCCCAGAGACCGTCGTGGATGTTCATAGATACATCATTGGCAGAATACAGACTTCAGATCACACCGACTTCACAGTATTTTTTACACGAGAGTTCCACGGTACTTTTGCGTTCCTTTGCCACCGGGGAGGCATAGGAAACATATTATTCCTGCTTACCGGATAGTTTCATGCATCAAGAAGAGTTCATGAGTCATCGGACCATATCCATCCAGCCTCCGTTTTGATTGACTAGTTGTTGTGACGAACATCACGAGATTAAAGAATTTAGGTATCAGAGTTCGAAAGTGATTCGAAAGCTTACGTCGTGTTGAGACCCTAGCCGGATCGAGACTGAATGGTAGATATAACATAAAATTCAACTCACGTTCGCGGGCCAAATATTTTGAGTGCTCTGATGTGGGTGTCTTTTCCATTAAGGTGATTGGCCAAAACCGCGATCTGGAACAGGTGGCCTTTAATAGCAACGCTAAGATCGAAACGTCTGTTGAGTTATTAGGCTAATGAGATGATATAGTCCAGAGTGACTTACGATTCATCGTCATCATCATCGCTTTCATCCTCATCCTTGTCATTGGCATCATCCTCGTTACCGAGCTTGATGTCCTGCCATCCTCGTGGGTTTCGTAAATCAAGTTGTTTGATCTGTTGTAGATCTTGTTTGAAACTGCCAACGGCTATCGAAAGGCGACAAGGCGTGTAGGAGTCATCCATCGAGACATCCACAAATATCGAAATACGCTATTCAGAGCATTCATAATAAATTAGACTTCAACGAACTGATGAGAGATCAAACAGCCCCTCTATTCTTGTAGCAGGAGTTCAAAGTGAACTTACTGAAACAGCAGTCTTTTTGGGGAATTCGATCCGTATAAAGTGAGGCTGAGGACCTTCCGATCTGGAACCATTCGACAAACCAATCAGGATCCTTAAATAATGATTTGAAAGCGAAAAGAAATCCACCAAACTGCCACAACGTATGAATAGAATCATCTCTGAGTTGAGCAACGCCAAAGCCAGGTTTGGCACTAGAAACAGACCAAACAGCTCGGTCTCCTAGATCGACTTCTTCGGTTGCTTTGGTCGCGTTGGGCGCGTTGGGCGCCTGCGTGACTGGGATAGCTGACATGCTTTAGAGCTGAAGTTGAAGGCGCGTATACCGTTGAGCATCCAGCAAATGTGAGCAGCGAGTCTCGATTGCTCTCAATACCCGTTTCTGGTGGCATTTCGGTACCACGTCGGGGCTAGACACGCCTGCGACCCGGACACCGGGTCTTCTGCCTTGCAGGGTTTGCATCGCATGATTCTTTTGTATCATGCCGTCGGGATGGATTTAGCTGGATTTAATTTCCTATGGATAAGGTTGAATCTCATATTTTTGGTATGTATGAAGAAGCACGCGCGAAATGAGTTGATTCCCAATTATGTCGATTCATAAGACTTGTCCATAATCCAGCAGAAAGGGATGTACTGCAGAAGTCCCTGTATGTGGTTGCACATTCTGGAAGAAGCTAGACTTGCCAATGGGGTGGCAAAAGTGTTGCCTTGTGCAGGACAGCAAATTTGTATTGCTACATCGGATGAGGACTGCTCACTTGTACAATACATACATGGTTATCATAAGCAAAACAGATACAAGAATGAGAAGGATTTCAATAGGATCAAATCTTGGTTGGAAAATTGGACACTGGTACAATCCGCTTGGGTGAGATGCGAAGATGATCACTTGTCATCTAATATCAACTAGTTTACAAAATCTCATGGTGTATATAGTTGTATTTACCAAGAGACCTAGGAGCAAAAAAAGTTGAACACACAAATGGTTGACATTTGATGACATATGGCGTAAGCGATAAGTTGTTTAAGATGAAAAGTAATCAAGGAGAGAAGATCTAGTACGTGTTTGCTTAATAATTACCACAAAGATATTCACAGCTAATGAGAGAAAAATAAGTGGAACAATTGAAAATGCAAATCATAAGAAGACAAGATCACCACTGAACCGCAAACCCATTTGTTTCGATTGGCACAACTCGGTATTGTGTTTTGAATAGGTTTTGATGATCCTTTTGATCAGGGAACCATTTCTTCAACCAATCCTCAATCTCTTCGTCTTGGCTGATCATAGTAGGAGGAGAGATACCAGAAGTCGAATACTTTGACTCAAGTTCATCCAACCAGTCGCGAGTTTCATAGTGATCAGGTTTCGAGATCTGACCACCACCATTCAAACACCCTGAAGGACAAGCCATGACTTCAACATAATCTAATCTCTGACCATCCTGTGATGTATCCTTGACTCTCCTCCGATTGAGATTGCTGCTAGGACCAGTAGGGCCTTTAAACTTTCGTACTAGGTTTTGTAAATTTTTGAATCCATAACAGTGAGCTCCTTTGAATAGTACCTTTTTTGTGTCTTGGTCGGTGGTCGTGATCAGGTATTCACAATAATCTCTACCACGTTTGCGCTCGATGGTCAAAGTGGCATCGGCGGATTTATGTTCATCGAGAATAGATTGAATGATGAATTGCAAATAACCTCCGCTACTTGATCTTTCGCTTTCGGGTCGATCGATCCAAGTTGGGATGATGGAAGTCGAGGGAGTGTGTGATGTTACTTCAGAACTCAGTTTCGGTGCGTTGCTAGTCTGTGTTATTTGTGGTTGAGATGATGATGCAGAAAGAAGATCAAAATGGTGTTCTTCTAACATCTTTTGTACTTCTCCCGTTGTTAAAACTAAATCGACATCCTTAACCCCACTCTCGGAATTGATGAAATCCTGCCGACTAGCTTCAAGTTTTTTATCATAACAACTCATAATAGTAACATGATAAATTTGATTCGGTGTAACATTGATCAATTTGGAAAATTGTGTAGATTTGATGATTGATCCCTGAATAGCTTGTGGTGATTTCACATTACTAATCATGTTCAAAATATCTTCTGTTTGAGTTTTTTCTGCATAACATATCCAACCGGGACATGAACTTGATAAGATGGTTTTAGGTTTGACTTGTGCTTGTTTTTGACGATGGATCCGATCAAATTCTAGTTTCGTTTGATACAAACTGAGCGCTTGTGAAAACTTTGAATCAAAGACTAAATGAAAGCCTATGATTTCAATAAAAAAAGTCTTGAGAGATTCGAATGTGGCGGATATGGATAGCTTATAATATGCCGAAAGGGAGGCGAGTGATTGGGTCGAGATTGAGATGATGGGATAAAGTGTTGTATCTGCTTTCAAGGTTGAATAAAGTTGTGATGTAGATTGTAATGCGACGAGGACTGATTCGGAACTAGTAACACATCCACTGTGGAATTTAAAATGGTATCGTAAGTTTTCAGTGAGATATCAAAGAGCATCAAAAACCAACTGACCTACAAGCTAAACAGTCCGTTAAACTGATTTCAGCCTTCTTCTGCGGAAGTGGTTCTGGTGCTGAGAGGGTGATAGGTACTTCATCTAGCCTGATTTCGGTAACAGCAGATGGAACTTCTTCTTTGATAATTGGTTCGATCGATTCAGTGGGTTTGATACATAGTTGAGATGGACCAAGATAATCATTTAAATCGATGAGTGATGGTGAGAAGTTGGATGGTGGCATCGCTTTAAGTTTGATTTTATTTTCCAAAATTTAAGTTCTCAGCTTGGATTTGAGATTTTATATTTTCAGAAATGGACGAATGACTTTATGCTGAGTCAACACCAAATTATCGAGTCTGATATGCTGCAACTCTGAAGCCCGCTCGGACTAGTCCAATCCTTGAGCCTTTGGGATGAGGTCTTATCAGGTTTGATCCAGAAGACAAAACAATTAGCCAGCGCAGAAACTCCAAAACAAATCGTCCACTTCATTCTCCTGAATACAGCCGGTTCATTTTCTTCGCTTCATCACAATGCCCCTATTCCTCCGCCTGTCTCCTTTCCATATGACATTTTAGATTCAACCACAGTACTTGTACATCAAATGAACGCTCATAAACGATGGACAAACTGGTAATTTAATTACAAAGAACCAACACATTTGGTGACAAAAATCCCGCACGACCTCCCATGTGACATGCCTAAGAGCCTGAGGTGGTACCGGACCCAACAAAAGTATTGGGAACATCGATCAGGCAAGCACATTCGAACATAAAATGTAAATACAATGATAGAAACAACAAGACTATCTGCATATGGCATAGAAAGAGCTTTGGTGAATAAAGCTGCGTCCTCAACAAGCAAGAGATAAATCGACAAAAACCGAAGCCTTTCGTGGACTTAGGTTGCTGCAGACAAAAAGATACACCAATGGCAATTGAAAAAACTTGGACACAAGTCCTTGCATCCAACAAAAACACAGTGCTTCCCAAACACATTCTGTCTCGCAAAGATTCTTGTGACGCACTGTGGCCGTGGGCGCCGAATTTTCCATATTGGATCATGTTCCTTTTGCTTGTCGGCGGCAAGAAACTGGTTTCTATTGGAAACACTCAAATCATAATCATGGGTATTAGATAGCGATAGCCAATCAATAGGCTTCTTTAGCAAAAGGCATGACCCAATCTCTCCAGGCAAGTCTAGATACATAGCTAGGCAAATGATGTATCTTTTATTGCCAAAATTAATTTCAACAACTTTCGAGTTCATTTGTAGTTTTCTGGTTTGTTAAAGAAAGATATCTCAGATAAACTTAACCAAGTCCCAAGTGAAATAGAGTCAAATGACTTTCAATGATTACTTCCTATCTGTGATACATACCTCACTAAAATACTTGTCCTTCTAAGTTCTGGGACCTAGATCTCCTCACCAAGATGTACCTTGGATAGAAGGGTCATATGAATAAGTGTTGGATATACATTGCATACATAAATAGGCTCTTAGTACGCGTTGCACAAGGAATATGTGATATAGGGCTCATTAGAAGTATTGATGGCACATGCACCTGTGATCGTTGGTATGAAAAGTTTCCTTGGTATTTGTAGAAATGTGGTATCAGTTTGATGAGAAGAAACATTCAACATAATGTACATACCACATAGTAGATTGGATACACTGGCAAGATGAAAATGATTTGTTCAGAATTGAAAACTTTCATATCTATGATGCGGAAAACATAAAATGACATGTGTTTATTAATCTCAACTTGATTTTTGCATCGGCAGAATGTCCACTTGGTGAGAGATGGCTATCCACCTTACACCAAAAACTGTTTAACACATAAACCCATAGGTTGTGAGAGCAGTAATCTGTTACTAGGATTGGGGGGGGTACCATCATATGCAAGGCAAATGACAAAGTCACACGGTAATTTGCGCAAAGCAGATATGCTCAAGTAGACTGTTGGAAAGTCTGAGTATGTATGTATGAAAGGTATGCGCGAAGCATTTTTCGTTTTCATCATCGGGATGTTCAGGTATTGATGTGGTCGAGACCATAGAGGCGCAATAGACAAAACATCACGCGTGAAATGCAAGAAATGAAAATAGATACTACTACAAGTGACATCGAGAGAAGAGATTACTGTTGATATATCAAATAAAGAAATGTGTGCAAGGATACAAGAAAACTAGAACGAGACAAGAAAAAAAATAAAGAACACAAATGCTAGAACACCAAGTGAACCTCCACAAAACCCCTGTCACATCATTGCTTTTTGTCATGACTCAACAAGATCTTCATCTTCTTACTAAAATCTTGACCAGATGCCTCCGTTAGTGGTCGTTTCGTTGTTAGTCGGACTCGAGCCTTTAAAGGTTTATCGTGCTTAGAGTCGTAACAAATCCGGTCTGACATAACGTGTAGCGATTTAGTCCGGAAAGTCGACAAGATCTTTTGGAGTGGAATCTCATCGACAGGCGGGCAGGGTTTTTTGACCGAAGGTCCAGCTTCCATACTCTCTTGCACCGGATTAGCGTTCTCCTTTGCCGATGATCGAGAAGTAGATGCTTGCGGATTTGTGTCTTCAGCCGGCTCCTGTCGGCTGTTATCCGCTGGTTCATCATGAGACGAATATCCGGAATCCCCTTTACCATCCCCAGCCTCGACGCCTTCACCATCCTCAAGCTCCCTGATGTCTTCATTCGATCGATAATGATGTCGAGTAAGATCGTCGGAAGGTGATGAATGTTGGTTTAAGTCGTCAACATGAGCGCCTTCTGGCTCAAAATCTCGAGATTCCTCTAGTATGTCTGATTCGTCCGACAAGTCTTGTGAATGTTGATCAAATGATGATGCCCGGCTTCGGTTTGGCGTCTTGAATCCACTCGGAAGAAGCCCTCGTGGTTCATTGTTGAGTAAAGAGCCGTTGACTCGGGAGAGATCATGAGGAGCATTCCTGAATTGCCTCCGACCAATGAGGCCGTCGTTGAATCGATTACAAAGATTCGGAAATAAGTCCCGTTTAGGACTCGCGGAAGCAGTGGCGCGATCGTTTCTAGCGTTCCAATTTGAAGACATTCGGGCAGCATGCCAGTAAGGGTCTAAGATTACTTCGTCACCATATGGCTTTGGGTCCTGCTTTGTATAACGCGTTGGGAGTGGACGAGCAGGTCCGGGGATGCCGTTTTTGGATGGCGAATGCAAGTAATCTAGAGAAGATAGAAGTGAAAGAGATAGTAAAAATCAGCACACGCAAAAAAATAAGTCAAAACATCAAGGAAGTCTTCTCACCTTTAAGGATGGGATGATTCCTTATTGGGGCAACCGTAAAGCTTTTACGACTGGGGCACATAGGTGGGAGCGCCGCGTTGCGATGGGTAACACCATCAACTTGAGGAAGGAGGTAAGAGGTAGATTGGTATGCCATTTCGACTTCAAGAAGGATTGAAAGATGTAAAGGTGATGATATATTTATATATCTAGGAGGATCGTAGAAAGAAGATTTAGGAGTATGTAGGCTGGTGAATGTGCCGAGAAAGTGAAGGAAGCAGGGTAAGATGAAGCTGTTTATCAAAAAGGGTTATAAAGGTATTGTGAAATTTTGATAATGAAGCTTTGTGAATAGATAGCGTGATGGGTGAATAAGAAAGACAAGAATACCTGGGGGGAGCAGGACTTTTTATACGATTTCCAGTGGAAAGCGACTGGGTCATGATTCGCATCGCGCCCTCATCTCAGCTGTTGTTCCTTGCCAGATAGGTGAGTTGGTCTGCATTCCTTGAGTCTACCGTCAAAGCAGTGTGCCTCACCGAGACATTTCTTAGGCCCGAATAAAATCTCCTGCTCACAAGTGATCAGTGCTGAAGCTCGCCATCCGTTCTAGTCTTCGTTTTGGTCCTGAATTCCATAGCTCAGGTTCTTTTTTGATCCAGCAATCGCAGTGAATCAAAGACTCGGCCATTTTCTGAAGGGTATCTGCTACGTCGGATCTTCATCACAACTGCTTCACATATAATACTGATGCTTGATCAGGATGAAAGACGGATCGGATCGAAAAAGGTAGAACTTTATGCTGCCGCAACTGTCTACACAGTCCTTGAAGAGTTCTTCAACACCCCAAAAGCTCGTTTAACAAGTCACAAGTAGTAGCCAACGGCTAAGCTGATCGGTCCATATTGATTATATACTGTTGAAAATGTTAGACTTGTGACCGACTATCAGGTAAAGAGGTACACCCAGATTTTTTGTGTAACTCACAAAGCGCCAACTTCAAGGTAGACAGACTAATGATCTGATAAGTCTATTGCAAAACAAAGGAATCCCAACAAACCACTTGAAGTAACTCGAAAAAAGTCAAATACGTAGGGCAATTTGTTTACCTCGAGAGGCTCAATGTTCCTGATGTCCGGTCAAAGCGTGACATGACGAGGGTTGAAACTCAGTTCGATCCAGCAAAACATTTGTGATTATATCATGATCAGTCATTTTGAGAACCTGGCTTTTAAAGTGGATAGCAACAATCTGACCATTTCACCTGGACAACATGTAGTAGGAAATATCGTCAAGTACTTGCGGAAGTCACTCAACACTGACATAAACGACACTAGGCTAAACATTTTGTATAAATTATCATGTCCAAAAACCTAACAACACCCTACGGGGTGGCTAGCGGTACATAATATGAAACAACAATATAAAAAAGAAGTGTAGAAATATAACAAAAAAAGATAAAACAGTTTTTTAAAATAACTACTGTATGCCATACATTTTTTTTGTATAAAAAAGATAAGAGGATACATAAAAATTGTTTTGCTTTTAGCTATAACAAAAAAGAACTATAGAAAGATTAAACATAAATGAATCAAATTTTTTATATTGTTGATTGAATGAAATAATATAGATAAATTATAGGAAATGATCTTTTTAAATAAGTAAGAAAGAATAATAGATATACTTAAAACCATACGGGTGGGAAAGGGAGGGCTTCAAAAATGACTTGCTGACTTGCTGAAACTTGACGATGAAGTTGAAGAATGGAAGATTGGAAGATATAGGTAAAGGAAAGATGAATGGCGAATTCTGTGGTAAACTGTAACAGGATGATGTCATCTATACATGAGAGTAAAGAGACAACAATGACCCGACCCGAATTGCAAACATTCATACTCGAAGAACCTATATCCGATATTCCAATCAGTAAATAACTAGTTACCTACAACTAGAAATATCGTCAAGTACTTA